GAGATCTTACTGCTGCCCGAGCTCAACAAACTGCTGTTGAGGTTGTGGCCCCTGACGAAGAACCTATTGGAAACAACGCTCCACCTGTACCTCCAGCGCCACCAGTTACAGGTACCACCTATCGGTCGGAGAAACTCCCAGATCCCGATGTGTTTAGGGGGGATCGTGATCGAGAAAGACTACACTTATTCAAGCAACAAATGAAAATTAAGTTACTGGGAAATATCGATCGCTATCCTACACTACAGTCTAAGTTATCGTACGCGTTCAGCAGATTGGAAGGTGCTGCTGCCAATCAGTTTTTACAGTACATGGGAGAAGAAGGTATTGCCCTACCTTCTATGACACGGTTTTATGAGATTCTGGATACAGCTTTTGGAGACCCCGATCGAATGCGGACAGCTAGAAGAAATCTTCGGAACATCAGACAACGCACTCGAACCTTTGCCGATTATTTTGCTGAGTTTCAACGGTATGCTGCTGAGTCGGGTATGGATGAAGTCTCTCGGATTGAGGCTTTGATGGAAGGAATTAATGGGGAACTGGACGAATCAATGATACACCATGAGACTCCTGCAACGGTAGATGGTTGTGCAACACTCTTGCAACGGTTGGATAACCGACGACGGGCGGCGGAAGCTAAGCGAGGTAGTAAAAAACCTTGGACTACTACTGCGACCCCGGCTCTGCGTCCTCCACCAACAAATCCTGTTCCTGCTCCCCGTCCTGCTGCCCCTGCTGCCAACCCACCTGCCACTGAGAATCACCCCTCGTTCCGTCCTGGAGGTGATGTACCCATGGACCTGTCTGGAGGACGTCGTCGCCCTACCCCTGCCGAAAGAAACGCCCGATTAGCTGAGGGCCGATGTTTCTATTGCGGAGGTGTCGGGCATATGGTTAGAAACTGCCCCCAAGCGAGGGCAACTGGAAATCAACCAAGGAGGCCTGTGATGAGAGGAGCGGCGTTGACAGTGGAAGAAAACGATGGAAGCGATAATGAGTCGGCAAAAGATTTGTCCCTGCACTAAGTGGCTTAGCCCAGGGACCGTTTAAGGATTTTTTTAAGATGTGTATTTCTGGTTTTTCGGTATCAGAGGAGGAAATGGATGGAAATCAACTTGTAGTAACTTGTTCGATTTCACAGAATAAAAATTCGTTTATACCTACCTACGCCCTTATTGATACCGGAGCATCAGGATATGCTTTTATTGATGAATCCTTTGCACGCCACAACAATCTTACAATGACCCCCCTTAAAATACCTCGCCATGTAGACGTTATAGACGGAAGGCCTATTAAGTCAGGAAAAATTACCCATATTGTCGATGTCTCGCTAGACATTCATGGTCATCGGGAAACGGCGCCATGTTTTGTAACGAAGTTAGGACACTATCCGATTGTGATGGGGATACCTTGGATGCGACGACATGATGTTACGATTCGACCAAAAGAAAATCTACTTGTTTTTGACTCTCGAAGCTGTTGTCAACACTGTTCACTCAGTGGAACTGCAGTTATTGTTCATGGTATCTCAATCCCCTTACCGGAACACCATACAGTCATCGTTTCAGCAACCGAGAAATCCACTATCGATATCGAACAATTAGTACCGAAAGAATTTCACCATCGTCTTCACATGTTTAAAGAATATGATGCTTCAATTCTCCCACCACATCGACCATCCCATGACATCGAGATAGTATTAGAGGAAGGCAAACGACCACCATATGGACCTATATATGGATTATCTCAAATTGAGTTAAAAGCACTACGAGAATATCTTGATGAAAATTTACCCAAAGGATTTATTCGAGCCAGTGAATCACCAGCGGGAGCACCCATACTGTTTGTGAAGAAAAGCGATGGAACCCTTCGACTTTGTGTTGACTATCGAGGCCTAAATGCGATTACAATCAAAAATCGATATCCATTACCATTGTTGAAAGAAACCCTGGCTAAGTTGTCAAGAGCACAATACTACACTAAGTTGGATTTACGATGGGGATATAATCAAATCAGGATAGCGGAAGGAGATGAATGGAAAACAGCATTCCGGACTCGATATGGACATTTCGAATATACAGTAATGCCGTTTGGATTAGCTAATGCCCCTGCCACATTTCAGCATTGGATCAATGATATTCTACGTCCCTACCTCGATCAATTCGTAACAGCATACTTAGACGATATCCTTATCTATTCCGAGACCCTATCAGAACATAAAGAACATATTCAGAAGGTTCTAAAGGTACTTGATGAAAATCATGTTCACCTTAAACCTGAAAAATGTGAATTTATGGTTCAGGAAACAAAATATCTTGGTTTAATCCTTACTCCAAATGGGAATAGAATGGATCCAAAGAAAGTTATCGATGTTTTGGAATGGACTACACCGACAAACCTTCGTGATGTTCAAGTATTCCTAGGATTTGCAAATTTCTACCGACGGTTTATTTTGGGATATTCGAAAATTGTTGCCCCTCTTACAGCCTTGACAAAGAAAAATGTTAAATTTGAATGGACGGATGAAAGGGAGGAAGCATTTCAGACTTTGAAAAAGATGTTTACAACGGCACCGATACTAGCTCATTTTAATCCAGATCGAAAAATTGTGATAGAAACTGATGCATCCGACTATGTTTCAGCAGGAATCCTATCTCAACGTGACAACGAAGGAATCCTACATCCAGTTGCTTTCTTTTCTAAGAAACACTCTCCCGCAGAATGCAACTACGAAATCTATGACAAAGAACTTTTAGCAATTATACGATGTTTTGAAGAATGGCGACATCATCTGGAGGGAGCTCAATTTCCAATTGAAGTTCTTAGCGACCATCGGAATCTTGAGTATTTTATGACAACAAAATTGTTAAATCGTCGACAAGCCCGTTGGTCCGAATTTCTTTCACGCTTCGATTTCGTTATACAATTTCGGCCAGGAAAACAAGGAACAAAACCAGATGCATTGACTAGGAGGTCAGGTGACCTACCTAAAGAGGGGGATGAACGGTTAACGCATCAGAGTCAAGTGATTCTGAAGCGAAAAAATTTGGATACCAAGCTAAGTTTGTTCGCGGGTTCTTTGTCAAATGAATCCGCTGAAGGAGCGTCCACTGTAGAGGAGTTATTTTCAAAAGCTTACCAAGTGGATAGTTTCCCAAACAAGGTCCTCAATATGCTTCGGAATGGCACACGCCACTCAAACAAAATCTCACTTGCTGAATGTATGGAAGATAACAACGGTCGGCTGATTTATCGAGGCATGCTATATGTACCAGACGACGATGACCTTCGACTAAGGCTTTTAAAAGAATATCATGACAAACCATCTGCAGGACATCCGGGTAGAGCGAAGACTCTGGAGCTCCTAAGTCGAGAATATTACTGGCCACAGATGCGGAAGTTTGTCGATCAGTATATTAGGAATTGCAATGTGTGCACCCGTAGCAAGGCATCACACAATGCACCTTATGGAGTACTTCGCCCCATGCCAATTCCCGATGGACCCTGGACAGATGTCTCGATGGACTTTGTGACTGATCTTCCTGAGAGCGATGGGTATAATGCGATTTTGGTCGTGGTGGATAGACTAACCAAAATGCGGCATCTGATACCAACGACAAAGGAGGCGGACTCACAGGAAGTAGCAAGGCTATATATTGATAACGTCTGGAAGCTACATGGATTACCCGACACTATGGTATCCGATCGAGGAACACAGTTCGTCGCGGAATTCTGGAGGTCTCTTTGTGATCGACTGGAAATCTCGCCAAAGTTCTCTACTGCATTCCACCCCCAAACAGATGGACAGACAGAAAGAATCAATGCCATAATGGAACAATACCTCCGAAGCTATGTTTCCTATCAACAAGACGATTGGGTCCGATGGCTACCGATGGCTGAATTTGCAACCAACAACCACATTTCCGAAACAACAAAAGTTTCCCCCTTTTATGCTAATTCGGGAAGAAATCCTAGGATAACATTTGGGCCTTTGGAACATGGTAGAACGAAGGCGGAAGATCAAGCTAATAGCATTGCGCGAGAAATGAAGAATATCATCGACTTCTTACGGAATGAGATGTTTCGGGCACAAAGAATACAGGAAGAATCAGCCAATAGGAATCGGACCCCAGCTCCTCGATACCATTTAGGAGATAAAGTTTTCCTATCGACCCGTCATATTCTAACAAAACGACCTTCCAAGAAATTCGACTGGAAACGTATTGGACCTTATAACGTTAAGCGCATTGTCAATCCCTATGCCTACGAGTTGGAACTTCCCCGGTCAATGAAAATTCATCCAGTATTTCATGTTTCGCTATTGTCACCCGATGCGAATGATCCTTTACCGGGACAACAACAGTTGCCACCACCTCCGGTTGAAATCGAAGGAGAGGAAGAATGGGAGGTCGAGGATATCTTGGATTCGAGGAAACGAAGAGGAAGATTTGAGTATTTGGTACGATATATGGGATATGATGAAGCCTCCTGGCAACCACTATCGGACCTTGAGCATTCACCTGATATCGTTAAACGATTCCATGAGCGTTATCCAGGGAAGCCTAAGCCTACCAGGAGGTAGGCCTTAGAGGGGGGCGTGGTCTGTAACGGCAGCTACGTATTTCGGCTAGGTGATGAACTGAGATGAGGGAAGGAGGTATCGTGCAGTGGAATTAGGATTTGTAATGGGGATTTCTGTTATGTTCTTTGGGTTTCTGTTACGCGAAGGTATTAGTCATCGTTGGATTATGGATGGATATATAAGGGGGCGTTGTCTTGTGCTTTTGTCTGTTTTCCTTCTTCTCTTTCTTCTTTACGCAACCTCTGTATTTTATTCCACGAATACTATTCTTTGTTCGCACTACGTCATAGGGCTCCAACCGGTTTATCATACCAGGTAGAGCCACCCATAGTCCATAGTCAAAGTATACCTTTACGTCTACGTCCACGTCTACGTCACTACCTAGGTTGTATTCCTTGGCACCACAGTCTATCGCCTATAGTCCCCGTGATAGCTTGGCAGCAAGGGTGCCTGAATCGGAAGGCTTGGTAATCGACTCGGCGGTATCGGAAGGCTTGGCAGCAGGGGTACCAGAAGCAGAAGGCTCGGCAGCTGGCTCGACGGTATCGGCTTGCTTGGCAGCTGGTTCGGCAGGAAGCTCGGCGGTTTTAGTACTCTCGACGCTCTTAGAAGCCTTGGCAGCTCGGGTGCGCTTGGCGGGAGGCTTAGCGATAGGCTTGGCGGTGGCGGTAGGGGTGCCAGAATCAGAAGGCTTGGGAACCGGCTCGGCGATTTCGGTAGGCTTGGCGGTTTCGGAAGACTTGGCAGAAAGTTCTGCGGTTTTAGAACTCTCGGCGGTTTTGGAAGCTTTGGTAGCCCGTGTGCGCTTGGCTGGAGGCTTGGCAGCCGGGGTGCGCTTGGCACGAGGCTTGGCAGGAAGTTTGGCGGTTTTATTGCTCTTTGCAGACATGATGGGGGTAGTAGTAGTAGACATTGTTTGTGGATGATGAATTGTTTGTTGATGACGATGAATGAAGTGGATAAGAGAAATTTTCTGGCTCTATTTATTCATCATTGGAGCAACAGTAACCCGCCCAACTTGAAGTTGCAGCAGTAACCCGCCCACTGGCATGTTTCCAGAACCCTCCTTCGCGGTCGCGAAGTGGCCACTGCTAGTCTATAATGTACTATCGCTAATTTTTCGAATATTGGAACGGTCTGATTGGCTGCTGAGTGCAGGGATGTTGATTAGTCAGCACGACACATCAAAGTACTGAGCACTCACGAGAGGAGGAGGATGGGGTCGAAGGCCCCTCATGATTGTAGAGGGAGAATTAAATTTTATTTGATACCCATAATTCAACGTACAACTCGCGGTCGCGAGTTGGCACACCCCTAGTATGTATGTACCCACGCTCAACGCAGCACTAGGCGCTTCCACTAAGACTTCCAGTAAACAATTGAAATGTATATCTTCACCTTTCTACGTTAGTCTTCCAGTTAAGAAGAGGTGTCTGGGTGAGCGGTGGAAGCGTCTATCTGTGTATGTACGCGCAGCTATCGCAGGTCTTCCGATAGCATATATTCATGGCTATAAACATGTATATAATCGCCATATACCTTATGCTGACGCCCTTCAATGATTGATCATGGTAAACTACATGTACATATCCTCCACCAAAGCTTAAGACTTACATCTAATCATCCTCAAATAATCGATTACGTACGTACGTACTTATATGTTTCTTCTGCGTTCGGCACTTTTCGTCGTAAGAATTAACGTCAAATCGCAATATAACGATTTTAAGGCCAGATGGGGCACTTACTATCAATACGTACATTTTAATGCTACATAACACTGAAGTACGTATGCAGGCTAATCTCCAAAAGGTACATAAAAATCATTTCCATTTCCTGCTGTCGATAATTCGAAATCGATCCTCAAAGGAATTTTCTATATTAATTAAAGGAAGACTATATATTAGCTTAAGATTATATACCCCAGCATTGAACAAATCTTTAGTGAAGTATGATTTTACTTAGTGACGTATAAACTTAGAAATTATCGCAGCTTGCATCCTCTGGCCCTCATATCTATCCCGTTGGTTCACCGAATCAGCTACAACTAGCTAAGAGTAATAATTTGCCCTTGTGCCGCTTGGAATTCTCCTACTAGAATTTTGAAGAAAGCAGAAGTTAGCCTTAAATTTAAGCCCATGCATGTTCAGCAGGCTTAAGATCAGGAGCAAATACCTAGATAATTCCAGCTCCCGGATTGACTCGCTGCCATCGATCAGGCATATATATTAGGAGTATTATCAATTCTCACTACCTCTCCCATATATGAACCAAGCTAGCCTAATCCAAGGCGCATAAGACAAAGAAATAAGACAAATAAGAGAGGTGTTTAGGTATGTACAGTACTGTAAATTATAGGCTTAAATGGTAACGCAAAAGAACGCCAATTGCAATGTATGTACGTATATGGCATGAAGAATAAATAAGATACCACTATGATAGTTATTCAGGAAGCAAAAGCTTTTTTCGTAATATCCCAACAGATTCAGACGAATCCAGAGTGTCGGGGTGGTTCTTCCCCAGGGATTTCTCCCGCCCAGCCAGTGCACGCTCGTTCCACTCCAGTGCCTTTCCTTATTCGCCTTGATTGTCGAACACCGAAGCCATGCAGCTGACCGTGGTGAGAGTACTGGGGTGGTCCTTCCCCAGGGATTTCTCCCGCCCAGCCAGTGCACGCTCGTACCACTCCAGTGCCTTGCCATATTCGCCTTGCTTGTCGAACACCGAAGCCATGCCGTGGACCGTGGTGAGAGTACTGGGGTGGTCCTTCCCCAGGGATTTCTCCCGCCCAGCCAGTGCACGCTCGTACCACTCCAGTGCCTTGCCATATTCGCCTTGCTTGTCGAACACCGAAGCCATGCCGTGGACCGTGGTGAGAGTACTGGGGTGGTCCTTCCCCAGGGATTTCTCCCGCCCAGCCAGTGCACACTCGTACCACTCCAGTGCCTTGCCATATTCGCCTTGGTTGCGGAACACCGAAGCCATGTTGTGGACCGTGACGAGAGTATCGGGGTCGTCCTTCCCCAGGGATTTCTCCTTTCCAGCCAGTGCTCGCTCGTACCACTCCAGTGCCTTGCCATATTCGCCTTGGTTGTCGAACACCAAAGCCATGTTGTGGACCGTGACGAGAGTGTCGGGGTGGTCCTTCCCCAGGGATTTCTCCCGCCCAGCCAGTGCACGCTCGTACCACTCCAGTGCCTTGCCATATTCGCCTTGCTTGTCGAACACCGAAGCCATGCCGTGGACCGTGGTGAGAGTACTGGGGTGGTCCTTCCCCAGGGATTTCTCCCCCCCAGCCAGTGCACGCTCGTACCACTCCAGTGCCTTGCCATATTCGCCTTGGTTGCGGAACACCGAAGCCATGTTGTGGACCGTGACGAGAGTATCGGGGTCGTCCTTCCCCAGGGATTTCTCCTTTCCAGCCAGTGCTCGCTCGTACCACTCCAGTGCCTTGCCATATTCGCCTTGGTTGTCGAACACCGAAGCCATGCAGCTGACCGTGGTGAGAGTACTGGGGTGGTCCTTCCCCAGGGATTTCTCCCCCCCAGCCAGTGCACGCTCGTACCACTCCAGTGCCTTGCCATATTCGCCTTGGTTGCGGAACACCAAAGCCATGTTGTGGACCGTGACGAGAGTGTCGGGGTGGTCCTTCCCCAGGGATTTCTCCCGCCCAGCCAGTGCACGCTCGTACCACTCCAGTGCCTTGCCATATTCGCCTTGCTTGTCGAACACCGAAGCCATGCCGTGGACCGTGGTGAGAGTACTGGGGTGGTCCTTCCCCAGGGATTTCTCTCGCCCAGCCAGTGCACGCTCGTACCACTCCAGTGCCTTGCCATATTCGCCTTGATTGTCGAACACCGAAGCCATGCCGTGGACCGTGGTGAGAGTACTGGGGTGGTCCTTCCCCAGGGATTTCTCCTGCCCAGCCAGTGCACGCTCGTACCAAGTTAGGGCTTCATTGAAGCGATGTCTTTTGCGATAGTAGCAAATTAAAAGATATACCGCACCATTTATCTCTAAGAAAGGTATATGTTGGGCTTCAGCGTGTCTCAGAGCAGTGGCTATATGTGATGTAAAAGTCTCACATATACCCCACGTCTCATTACCTCTAGCTACATTGGGTCTAAAAGCATTTTCCGTCAATGCAATCGCTATGAATATAAAAAGCCTTTTGTCTTCCGGACATATGAGACTCTCGCTCATATCTCGAGTTAGATCATGCATCCAGATAGCATCTGCTTCTTTCCTTCGAATAAGTGCAGAGGCTTGGAGGCATGCTATTGCTTGCTCCAGCTCCTTCAGATCCGGACCCAGTAGAAGCCTTTTTAGAGATGCGGCAAACTCGTCCCATGGGTTAACAACAGCGACCCCCCCGGTAGAAGTCCTGGAAAACTTAAGCTTTAACCTTCTGGAGCTCGAAAATTTTATAGGTTTTATAGGTTTAGGTTCAAAGAATTTCCCAAGATCTCCAAGAAAATCGGCCATCCCCTTCGTTTTAGCGGCCTCCGAGAAAAGATTCAAAGATAAATTTTGATGATCCAGATAGGAAATTATTTTTAAAAGGATAGTAGCTTCAGGTGTGATTCCTTGTATTGCAAGCATGAATGATGAGTGGAAATCGGAGCTACTGGTCCCCTTTAGCCTTAATGTCTCTAGTTTTTGTGTTTGTAGTTGATCAAGGTATCGTTGCAGAGTCCAGTCCCGGTCTATAGCGTAAGAAGCGCCCTGTTCCAAGGCAAGAGGTAGGCCTCCAAGCTCACGATTTAGCTCAGCTGCCAAATTCCGTGACTCGGGATCCACGCATGGGGTACATTGCCCCAAAATATTGAGTATCAAATCGATCCCGTCATCTTCCTCCATAGGCAAAAGCTCAAGTGTCCCCGCCGTCCCTAACTGTCTTGCTATATTCCTGTCCCGCATTGTGAAGATAATTGAGCCCAATGAAACTGCGGGGATGAATTCGCGAACCGTAGCAATTTCAACAACGTTATCGAATATCATAACCCAGTTGGAGTTATTCACCAGCCATCCCTTGACTTGTTCAATCTCGAGTTCCGCCTCATTGGGTGTCGCCCGACGTAAGCCAAGGAGGCCACAAAGAGATCGGTAATCCCGAACAAGTTGTTCCCTCGCTGTTGCCTGGACGTGGAAGATATTTAGGTACAGAGTAAGATTTTGAGTCACATATTTTAGGGCGAGTTGGGTTTTTCCGGCGCCAGGCATTCCATAAATTGCTATCCGCTTCGAATCTGAAGGTGCACCGCTCAATAGCTGACCTATTGTTCCGAGTTGTCTGACTCGGCCCGTGAATCGTGTATGTAAAATATTCGGCATAAAAACTATTTTTTGAGGTGGACCCGCGGCCGGAGTTCCCCCCATGGAAACTAGAAAACAACTTCATTAAAACTTGCATTTGTTGAATAGATAAAGGTTTCATGATGAATTCTCACCTTGCGATTGAATTTGAAGTCCAACTAGCTAAAATTAGGACAGCCTATTGAATAGTTGATCAATTTCTTTAACTTACTGTTTCTTGTCATTTTCATGTGCTCAACATCTGCAGCTTTCTCAACTTCTTGAGTATGAGCATCTATCTTCCGTGATAATTCATCAAAGGGTTCGCGCAGAGACCCCGAAAAAGACGCAGCAATTGTTCCTGTCCAAGTTATTTAGATTTAAATATCAAATAAATAAAACTATTTAAGGCATCTTACGCCACTTCGATCGGGCATAGAATTTTGTCGTCTTCAAACAAAAGTCTATAATATCGCAATAAAATGTCACAACTCTTGAGTCGAGAAGATTCGTCCTCCCATACAGGTTGAGAATTTCCGAAAACCGTTCAAGACAGAGTGATATCTTCTCTAAAATAGCACATATTCTCTCGTATGTATGGAATATGTCCTGGGATATCTATGCATTTAAATGAAATCGTCAAAGGTTTGCCACTATATATTCAAATTGCACGGACCTAGCTTATAATTACCAGGATAACGAATTTGATGCCGCTCCATACAAGAGCCGCGATTTCGGGATCTGAAATTAATATTGTCAGAGAAAATATCGTTTGTATAACGTGCGCACATAGCTAGAGCTCGAGCTCCAAGGTACTAGGTATGGTAAATATATATAAGGACGCGATAGAACTTACTGGACTGGATAGCTGTTTCTACAATCTTAGAAAACCGGTCCAACTTCTCTATATAAGCGGGAGTAATCTTGTGTATTAGGGTTGTGGCAGTGCTTCTCCGAGACTCGTTTTTGACTTTCGCCTCATCGATAGCTTGTAAGACGTCGCTAATGCTAGCATTTCTTTTAATAAGAGCTAACTCTTCGTCCTTGAGCTTCCCCTGCTGGTTTAATTGTTCGTAACTTTCGAGAGCTTTCTTGTACACACTTGATAGAGGAGCCGTTGCCGACATGTTGTGAATAGTGTTTTCGGATGATATCGACTTGTTGAGTTGGCAAGTGTACAATGCCGTACCTACTTCAGGGAGGGGGTGGTGGTTCCTGTTGCGCGGGGGGCTTTTGGTTTTTGCTTTTAATTGCACCTATCAATAGGGTCGAACTAGGCTCGTCCCCAACCCCTCTACTCGTAAATTCATGACGTTTCCGAACACGACTGTTATTGCATACCATATAAAAAACGCTAAATCCACCTTTTTGTATGTCATGCAATATTGGTCGTGTTCGGAAACGCTATGAACTTACGAGTACTTCCATGCTTCCAGGGAGCAGGCGCTTGCTGCTAAGTAGGGGATGGGTACGAGACTAGGGTCAAACCTACATGATAGTTCGGCCAATAGAACTATCGCGCTAAGTATTGAGCGCTATTACCACGTCGGCAACACCGCTTATCTAGATCTATGCGGCACAGACGGCAGAGCGTTCTATGATACTCTATTAGCGGTTTGCTTGGACTCGGGTCTAGGTAGATGTAGTCTTATTCGGCCAGAGTGGGTACATTCTAGGCATGTATGAGACTAGGAGCTAGACATGGCTCCTGAGTCCAGAACGCTTAAACCTAGCCTACACGGACAGGTTGGTGGACAGGGCTAAGGCTGATGTCAATTGTTGACAGTAGGGACCGACGAAAAACTGCCCTAAACCTGTCCCCCGACCTGTCTGTGGAGGCCAGGTTTATATAAGAGCCCCGGATCCATACCGGTAATGTAGGTACATGTATTTACCCACATCCACGGAGTGGGCTGGGAAGGAGCCTGTCCAAGTACATGTGCTGTTCTTAGATCCTTGTAATGATATCAGCTATCCTGCTCCACTGTGTACCTACAATTATATCTAGGATCTCCCCATTTGAGAACGTTAACTACAATGAAGTTTATCTACTAGTTAGATGGGTGCAAACCTACATGTATGTTACTCTAAAAAGGAATTATCTTTAGATTTCGTCTGGAATATGTATACGCGGGTAATTTCAATATCCGGACTGGCACGTCAGACATCAAAAATTAAACAGATAATAACTAGTCCAGCCGCCACAGAGAAGAAAGAGAAAAGAACTATATAATATATCCGCTTCATTGAGGAGAATGAACCGACTACTAACCTCGCTCGGATTGATCATTATTTTTGAGAAATCACTAGATAATCTTACAAGTCCCAAGGCAACCCCGAATTCCACCATTTTCGTTTATCCTCTGCCCCTTCTCATCACAACATCTTCAATTGCCGTCGCACAGAAACTTTCCCAACCCCCCATAACAAAACCCGAACGCCTTATTAAAATCCCTTATACCCCTCTAGAAAGATCGATGTAGCGCGGAGAAGCTGTAAACGCGCGAAAGATGGTCAAACGCAAACAGATCGTCAGTTCCGGTCCGAACCACCTATTTTGAACACAACAGAATGAAAAAATATTCAGATATTATACATCAAAAGAAATGGGTAAATGGGATGTAAGAATGAAGACGAACAAATTAAAATTGGTACGAACCACTCTCGTATTGTGCTGAAATGTACTGTTCTGGGTTCTTCGCCAAAAAACTGATCAGGTTCTCTATGTGCTCGCGGAGTTTTGAGATAGACTGGGGGTCCATATTTGTATGGGCGAGAAGCTCCGGCATGGAGACTATGATAACAGATTAATATCAAAGTACGAATCGCCTTCTACCGAACTTCAACTAAAGAATCCAAATTGGAAGGGACTTACCAAAAAGCCTAAGCAGATGCTCTGCGCCATAGATCTCGCTCGGCTCTTTTCCGGGGTGCTCCTTCCGAATTTCCAGATACTGCTGTCTCTCAAACCGATATAAAAGGATGGTCCCGAGAGATCGGTCGAAGTAGAGTTTCAACCCGGCAATGACTTCGTCGAAAATATCCGCATCTGCCGAGCCCTCTCGCTTTTTTGGTACAGATTCGCGATATTTTTGTAGAAGCTGTGTAACATTGAGGTCACGCGGCAAAGGAACAAGCTGCTGGTTCTTAGTGACGTTTTCCCAATCGTCGACAAGCAGTGCTTTCAAGTTGTCGGGGATGTTTATCTTGACATCATGACGTTTCATAAATTCCTCTTCCTTCAAGTCGGATACGTTTGGTCAGCAATTACCTAATTAGCAAGAGCGCTTTAAACACAGACCTTCTCGATCTCAAGCTCACGCCCACGCTTCTGGCCTCGCGGAGGAAGAGTGGTAGAAGCTCCCGTTGGAAGATCCTCAGAGCCAGCTTTGGAAGTCATCTTCTTCTTCGTATCGGGCGTGGGCTTCGGCTTATTCGTAATCGGTTTTGTATTCTCGTTGAGTTCCTTTTGCAATCGCAGGTTTTCTTCGTTCATTTTGCGGAGGCGATCTGCGGGGACAAATTCATCCCACCTGGTCATTGTCAGCTGGCCCGATAGTAGCTAGCAACTCTATCGTACGATAATTCTGTCCTTTCAATTTCCCCCAAACAGCTTCCACAAAAAAATAGATAGCTAGCGAGAGATTGCCTTTCCTTCAGAACAACATGAGTTCGCTAAGATAACTTACGTATTCTTCCACCCCTTGTAATGCACCTTGTACTCCGGCAGCTCTTTCTTGTCGTCCGATTTTTTGACCTCCAGTACCTTTGCTTCATATAGCATAGGCCCGTGAAAGCACAAAACCCTCTCCTGAACGTCGTAAGTGAGCACCTTTTGCGCAGCTGCTGGGGGCATGATATCGACTCGGATTTTGTTGCTTCTACCTCAAGGGTGTGCTTCGGTTGCTGAGTTAGTGAAAGAGAAATGGAAGGATAGGCGCGAGACTGGAGCAATGGGAGGACGCGTTAGGAGTTCTACATACACGGCCATCTCTGTAGCAGTTACCCTGCTTTCATGATTAGTCACTCGACCTTTTTTCTATATTGGGGATGCACTTGCCATCATCATTATCTATATCAATGGCTTCAAGTACCACGGCGCTCGAGTACGAGATTCTCTCGTCATTTCTCCTCTCCCGTGCATCATTACAGGACATCATCTCTCTCCGCAAGTTCACTGAACTATTCCCAAAAGATAAGCAGTCAAATCCTCAGATTAAGCTCCTTTACGCAGAGCTCCAGCTTCAGCGCAACAAAACATGTGATCGCGTTAAAAAGAACATACAATTCGAAGCTCGACTCGGCGCAAAACAACGAAGGGATGCAAAAAGGCAGCAGCGAGAGGGGCAGCACATAGATGATGACGCGATGACGGGGATTGAAGTAAGGTTCACAGAAAACACCGGTAGGCTTTTCACTACGCTAACTGGGGAATTTATCATGTAGCTCTTTGGTGCAGCTCCTTCAGAACCAAAGCTCCCATTAAAGGAGCTTTTACAGCAAATGACGGCCGCTGCCGAAGATCTTGATGCAGAGTTCAAAAATCTCGATAGGGAATGCGATGAGATACTCGAAGACCTCAAAACTACAATTGGAGATCTCAGCGATCTGCGTTACGGAAAGTTCGCCAACGCAGGTTTGGACGAAAAGGTTGTTTCGGATTTGGAGAATCTGCACAAGGCCTGCGAACGAGTCTTAAACCCCGATTCTCATTCAAATGAAACTTAGTAGTTACACGATAGTGAGCGTACATGAATACCACAAGTTCAAATCTCTCTGGGAAAAAAAAGAAAAATGGAAAAAGTAAGAGCTTTTCCTTCTTTGACCCCTATATCTGTGTTTGTGATAATAAACACCACTGCACGGAATAGTGTGTTCCCAATATTCAAAAAGAAATCACCCTTTCTTAGTTGTTTAGCCATTTCCTTATAGCCTACTCTTCAATAATGACCGACTCTTTCCGAATATAAAAGAAACCAAACAAAGCGCCGAACCCAAATCTCTGACACTACAAGTTCAGAAGCCCAAGAAATTATGAAGAACCAGCAGCAGGCCCGGGGGCTCTTGGTGGGGTTGTAGTGACACCCCTAGTTATCCGTGACCTGTACATCGGGACAAGATAAGCATGCATAAAATAAAATGTCATGTAATAGGGACAAAGGCATACATAATAGTCCTTCCCAAAAGACTGATCGTAACCATCATGACCCACGGCGGGAGGGTCTCATAATATATCAAGGCCGTAGAAATATAAGGCACAACGAAGTCTTTCAGCGCACCGTCAATAGGATTGAGGATACCCGACCAGGCGTCAACATTCTTCCATGCCGCTTCAGTGTGAAATTTCACCAAATGTGCCGCTTGCTCTCCGTCGATCAACTCGGCGGGCCAAGGAACTTCCCTAATCTCGACGGTGCCATTCGCGAAGGATGCGATGTGGTAAACTTCTGGGAGTTTACCCTGAGATGTCAAGAGGAAGGTCTGACATAATTCCATGGCTTCGGGCGATGCACAGTCGATTCTCCCAAGATTAATTTTGGGGGCGGGGCCAGCAAGGTTCTGAGCAGCAGCGAGCTGAACAGTTGTTTCCTATAGCACTTCTTGTTAGTTTCATATGCGCAGCAACAAAGATAAGAAGCAACCACACACCTCAAAAATCCCATCCCATTTCGTCGCGTTCCGAGTACCGTTAACGTTACTTGTGGTAAAGTAGAAATACCACTCTTCGGCCGTTTCGGTCACGTCAGAACCTTCAGTGACAGCAGTATTGTTGATGGAACTTCGCCAGTTTTCAGATGTGATATTGCGCACCCGCCTCTCGATCACGATGTGTTGGTCGACCTCCTCAACACTCGCAGCGAGTGGCTTCTGTGTGCCCAGAACACGGTTGAGATAATCGCCCCACTGTGCAGACACAAGTGACGCGCCAGCCAAGAGGAAGAGTGAAGATAGCCGCATGATTTCCTTTTCTTTCTTTCTATTATAAGATAGCTTGTAGTGAGAAGGAAGAGATTTAATATTTAGGTTGTGGATTGTAGGATATATTTGCTTGCGTGCGTGTGTGTGGGTGCGTGTGTGTGTATGTGTGTGTTGTACGTATCTAGTGTAGGGAGTTTAGAAGAGGGAGAGAGGAGTGGGGAACAGTCAGTGTCGGTAGGCGGAAGAAATCCAACTACTTGCACGTATTTGCTAGGAGTATGTGACTGTATATACCAATGGTTCGCCTACAAAGCTGTACGGTGCAGTACGGGTGAGAAAGAAAGGGATTGGAAATTATCATGTACCCTACATACCAATTCGCTTCAAGCAACGTTGCAGTAAACGAGGCTGTAACCAGGGCCATTGAACTACCCAATGCACTGGACCGACTGGGCATCGACTAGGGAATTGTGAGGCTCAAATCATATCAGTCCCCTTCCCACCATTGACACATACATACCCCTTCGTAACATCACCTAACACACTTAGAAGCTCTAATAAGTCTAGAGTCCGCGAAACATTCTATAGTACTCTATGCACATGTGCATTCGTCAAATCACCCCGAAGCCTACATTTACAAGGATTATATTGCTAATAAAAGCCATGTAGGTATCGCACTGTAGTTCTGTAGGTACATATATATCCACTGCATACTAAGTACCTTCGGTCTAGTTATTAAGAGAATTTAATATATATGTAGTCCAATACTCTATAATCCAACACATTGGACTGATACTAGTAGAATGCCAGGTGCATTAGTATCTCCCAAAGTTCTCTAGCTGCCATCGATCTCTGACTTACACCGCTACTATAGCTAGTGAGGGTTCCCTCCCCCTAATTATATGCATTCATGAATGATCTAATTACATTTTAATTTTACGCAGAGAGAAAGCACATGTAGTGTATTTCCGTAATAATTTATATAGCCTGCAGCTGGGCCCCGTACTGACAGTAGGCTGCAGCTGTTTGGACCGGCAGCTGTTAAAAGCTTCGACTGGGGGATAATTGGGAGCAGTGCTCAATATTATCGCGAAATAAAACTATGTACTGTCTAGCTTACACCTACTCGCGCTGGTACTCGTGTGTAGATCTAGAGAATATAGACAAATTTACCTAGACTGCGCTTCTCCCACCAGACTGGGCATGTATTCCGTGGGGATATTGATACAAGATCTGATACATCGGCCATCACCTATATATATGTATCTGGAAAAGAGCCACTACTATAATACAGTAAGTACATACATATACATGTAGTTACAATATATTACCAACCTAGAGCACCAAATGAAGTGACATCTGCGGGGTAGCGTTTCCTCCTCCCCTCCTCTCCCCACTTTTTCAACCCGCTGATGAGCACACGCATCTGCCACATCTAAACACCCTACGAGTTAGAACTGAGCCATGGAGGATGTATATATACATAGAAATAGCCTACCACATTTATACTCAGAGTGGCATATTTGACTGAAGAAAACCCCCCTAGCGATCCAACATTACACAATAGAAGGTAGAACACACGTTATTGTGGTTGGTACCGGTCGAGATACTTTTTTCTCCAGCAAGTTAGCATATTTCTATTTAACTTTCAGCCACTGGGCAAGGACGCTACATTGATGTCTCAAGTCAACAATTCACTTCTGAATTCCGTCTTCGCAGGAAGATGTGCACTCCGTCTTCGCTATTACTTCAACACCAGGCGCATGATAGCACAGACATTCCATGCGTGCAACAGAAGCTAGCTGAATACCCCGAGTCCGGGAGCCTACTAAATACATATGTACTTAATCTACTCACGATCACTCCCCTCTGAAGCTAGGGCCATTAAAAAACATACACACATGATCTTAAAACCCTCTCTTGACTAGAAGGCTCTCGCGGGTTCTACTATCCACGATCTTCAATAAATAAGGGCTATCTTCAAAGGCGGAATCGAACAGCTACAAGTAGCGCTCCCTAGATGAGGCTCATACAGGAGTAGACCATGATCAACATCGGTATTTACAGAAATATTCAGGTTGGCACTATATTAAAGAGTGGGCTACCCTCCTATATGCACGTGACTGATAAAAACAATGTATATCATCCTAAAAACAGGTCGACGGAACTTTCCCTATCTAGCAAAGATTTGCAGGGCCAATGATCGCTGCATCCACAATACTTGACAATCGCCCCCACGCAAAATCCCAACACCACTAAACCTACTCTAGGTACAGTTAGTTGTTTTGGGAGCAAAAATAAAAATAATTGAACAGCGAACAAAGATTTTTGCCAGTGGGTACAGACAATCAATTTGTTGGCTAAAATGTATATACTTTGGTTGTTGCCCCGACTGTAAGTTTACCTACTCAAAAAAACATTTTCAAAAGAGAAGAAAAATGAATCATGATTTCGCCCGGGCTCGAACCGGGGACCACAAGTGAAACTGGTGTTAGACTTGTGTGATAACCAACTACACCACGAAACCTTGACGTAAGCGCCTTCTTTTAGCAAATTCTCAAAGTATAGTAGTTATTACACAGTAATGATCAAACCCACATATTTCCACGCGCTCTCTCTTACAGAGAGCCATCATGTTCTCTTCACCCCCTCCAAGCCGCCGCCTGAAATAAAACCAGCCCGAGAGGAGGAGTATTCTCAGATTCTTGTTGTTACACCCGTGTCTAGAAAATTCCCGGAGCCCCTCCATCATGGCAACGGGACCCCCACGGCTCAATTAACCACAACCAAAGTGAACTTTCATACAAGATTGGACAGGATAGCTAAAGAGAGAATGTAGAATAAGAATATCCTAAAATAAGTTGTGAAAAAACATTACTTTGTATCTTTGGCCTCCGCTTTTGGTAGGTCTAATTATACTTGTATGAAATAATACTATAAACAATACTCTTTTAATTCTAGCTCATCAGCAGTTCGTTGCATCAACCCAAAAATATCCATATAGGAAATAGAGACTATGTCTATTCTACCTGTATCTATATTTTCTTCTAGAGGTATCTGGTTGTTGTTGTTCAGTTTCGAAAAGTTGACTCCGTTGCTATGGGGGCTCCGGGAATTATCTAGACACGGGTGTACATATAGACTAATAACTAGACAATAAACGCCGCCAAAGATACCATTTTATCCACCCGGTCCCACAGCCAAATATTCTACACTCCAATATAGCAACATACATGATATATATACACGCCTGCCACCTCCATACCACCACGCAACCGCAATGATACTAGATCGCGGCGCCCCTCTCCACTGCCCACTCCTTCGGTTCTAGGCCCATCTCGCCGTCCGCTAGCGGTACCGCCTCGCCATTTACATGGGGCACCACGCTTTCGCCCTCCTCCTCGCGGTCCATGATTGCGTCCTCGTCTTCCTCCTCCTCCACCACCTTCTCCTCCTTGAAGAGTTCCTTGAGGACATGTTTATGGCGCGGCAACTTGATGTTCTTAAGCGCCGTGTCGATGAGACACTCGCAAATAACCTTGAGCTCCTGTGCGGTTTCCCGGGGTGTAAAGGTTGCGGGGAAGCGCCATCTATGTGCATTGACAAATGTTAACTCTAATCATATGAGCAGGGGAGGGGGGGAAAAGCCCCCGCGGGGGGGGGGGGGGGGTGGATTACGAGAGCCATAGGTACAGCAGAAGACTCTTATGGAGAGACTCAAGCGCACGCAGCTCCTCGGGCTGCGTCGGGTTATCGATATCGAGGATCTCGAGGTCGAAAGTTTGCAACTTAAGGACGCTACCGTCGCGGGAGCTAGCCAAGATTTCTGCCATCTCAAGGGCGGCCGCCTGCACAGCATCGTCCGTGCTGATGGGCGCCATGCAAAACATGAGTCTCTCCGTGATAGTGAGGCCTTTAACGCTCTCCAGCGCGCGCGCGGTCATCAAAATATCTTCCAAGGAGCACATGTGGAAGAGGCTCTTGTTGAGCTGCGCCGAACTGCGCATCGCGAGCAGGATCTTGGCGAGCGGCGCATCGGGCGGGAAGAGGGCTGCGAAGTTCTCGATGTGGGTGGTGGAAGGGAGGATCCCGGCGGAGCGGAGCGGCTGTGGTTCAATGGCCATGGATTGCCGCAGCAGCGGCATGTCATCGTCATCGAGTGCGGTGACCAGCCCCGGGAGGGGTGCGGAGAGCGCGGCGGAGGCGCTGATGTCAACGTGGGTCTCGGCGGATTTGCTGGTGGGGACGCGGAAGCGGCCGGCACGACCGGCAATCTGTTTGATGGAAGGGACGGAGACGGGCTCCATTTGTTTGCCGTTGAACTTTACGGTCGTTTCGAAAATGATACGTTTTACGCTCCTGTTTTTTTTGTGTGTGTGTTAGTGGGTCAATGATCGGAGGAGATACCAATGATCGGAGTTTCTAGAAATGGGACTTACAGGTTGAGTCCCATACCGACGGCGTCGGAGGCGACGAGGATTTCGTATTCACTGTTGGGGTCGTTAAAGAGCTGGGCCTGAATACTCCTAGTTTCTGGGGGCAGGGAGCCGTAGATGACAGCGCATTTCTTCCCCGTAGTAGACTCAATCTCGCGCTTCAGTGCAAAGATGTTCTTCCTCGAAAAAGTAACCACACAGTCGCCCTTTTCGAGCTGGTAGAGGTCGCCCTTGAGACTCTCCGTCATCAGCTGGAGCCCACCAAGTCTAGTATATCGCCTGATGACCAACTTCTCGCCCATCATCTTTGCCAGCTTCGAGATGAGCTCCACGGTCCGCTCCTCACCACACATGTGCACCTCCTTCGCACGAACACCTAGAAGCGCCTGCGTCCATGCCCACCCACGGTCCTCATCCCCAATCATCTGGATCTCGTCGAGCACCGCGACATCAACCCGCCGGCTCAGATCCACCATCTCCACCGTACTCGAGTAGATCCCGGCCTCCTCGCTCGTAACACGGCGCTCGTCACCCGTCACAAGATTGCAGGGTATGCCCTGAGCGTTCATACGCTCGTAGACCTCGTGCGCCAGCAGCCGAAGCGGCCCCGCGTAGACACCGCTCTGGCTCTCCTTAAGGCGCTGCAGCGCGTTGTACGTCTTCCCACTGTTTGTCGGGCCGACGTGCAAGTACCATGTGCGCTGGTAATGCCTTGTGCTCGGATACCACTCCTGCGGGTACCGCAGATCCGCGACCTTGCCCATCACATCCTTCCCCGCAATTGCCACCTCCGTGCCTACGAAAGCCTGAAATTGCTTTTTGAGCCACAACGGGAGTCCATCGTTGGAGGAGATTGCGGCGGTGATCTGGGAGCGCGTGGTGAAGAGCTCATGGCGCGGAGACTTCCACTCGGATTTTGTGCTGGAGCTTGCGGCAAAGAGAACATCGTTTTCGAACAGGCGGAACTTTTGCACGAGCTTTTGGGGCTCGAGGTCTAGGGCTGCAAGGTATTCAGGAAGGATGGAGTCAGAGGGGAAGCGATCGCTGCCTTGGGGGAGGAAAGGGGGTCGGATGCGCTCAAAAATGGAGCGGAGGATCTTTGTGAGTTGGTTATTGGTGAGGACGCTGGGGTTTTTGCAGCTGTCTTTGAGGATACGGAAGGCGGGCTGGAGAGATAAGTTAGCTGTATATATACTACTGTTGCACTGTATATGGTAGTTGCGTTGGAAGAGGGGCGAATTGAAGCTATGTGTGACTGTACCTTTGTCTTGACAGATCTGTAGCGGACTGTTCCTGGGATTGCGCCTGGGAGTTGTCGTGAAAGGATTGGTGTTATCTGCCTAGGGGCAAGAGTACAGAATATGCATTTACTCGTCACTCCACGCAGTCGGGCAGCCATTGTGCGAGTCTGCCGGTGGTAGAGAGGGTATATGAGGGAGGGTGGGGGAAGAATTGAATGTGGTGAGAATGAGACCTCCGTGGTCGTGGAGAGGGATGAGGTCTTGGCTCTAGATTTTTTTCTTATGCAGCTGCCATCCACCTGCATTGGTTGCCCCTCCACCCAAGATGGCTAGTGTGAGCCATGTCTGAGACTCTGAGTGAGCCTCAAGAGATGCGACAGCACAATGTGGGGTGGGATTATGTAACACAGCTCGATATCATGCACTGGCAGACAGGCCAGTCAAAATGGCAGTACTTGGAGTGACATGAAACCTTCTTGAATTTGGAATCGAAGAATCTGGTGATCGTTTTAGGAACAACCTTAGATATCATATTTCTCCTTTACAGATGTAACGTAATGCCATAAAGTCAAGCATTACTACATACACAAAGGACATTAGCCTGACGGAATTAATACAAAACCTATAGAATTACCCATCAGTCCATCCTCTACTTTTTACCCGATAGTTGTGCTCTAGGTGCTAGCCTCCGGACTTATCAAATCTCAAAGTCTATGTAGTCGCATACAAGACGTAGGTATGACTCTTACAGCAGGACAGAAATATGCACAAGGAACATGTACTCTACATGTAGCTAGTGGCCGCTATCTCGACGACTTGATGGTGTTTAATCACCAAATAATAATTCTCGCCCGGATTCTGCACTTGACGTCAATCATGCCCACCCGCCCGCGATACAATCAATGCAGACTATCGGGATGGTATTTGGTGTTTAAACACCAAATCACTCAGATAGAGTGCGCCGGCGGGTGTGGGTTTGGTGTTTAATCACCAAATGGATGCCCATGTACCCCTGCGCCGGGCGGTTGCTGGTCGGGATTTGGTGTTTAATCACCAAATGGCTGCTGTTATCGGGGGTTGCGGCTCCATTAGCCGATTGCATACTCACCAAGTAGGTACATGTAGGTACATGCATTGTTGCCCCCGCCATCCAAGAACCCGGCCCCTCCAACCGTTTTTTCTTTTCGCTTCAAAACGTCACTCCCGGACAAGCTCTATATAAGGAACTGGGCAAGCCCGCTATTTCTTTGTTTTTCCCAACCACTCAACAGCCAGTTAATCAATCAACCAGTCAGTCACTTTTTATACATATAAATCTTACTGAATATACAATGGCCGATGGAATCAAGCAAGCATTCGCAAGGTGCAAGGCCGAGGGCAGGGTGCATTCGTCCCCCCCCCGCCAAATTATCTAGCAATTGAAGCTAACACTACTAAAAAAAAATATAGAGAGCCCTCGTCACCTATGTCACCGCTGGCTATCCTACCGCCGGCGAGACTGTTGATGTAATGCTCGCCATGGAGGCTGGTGGCGCTGGTACGAAAGACTGCTCAAATCTCTCTTCATACTTTCCAAACTAATTCATATTCTCCCCCTCCTCTGTATCCAGACCTCATCGAGCTCGGTCTCCCGTTCACAGACCCCATCGCCGACGGACCCACTATCCAAAAGGCCAACACCGTCGCCCTCCTTAATGGTGTCTCTATTACCACAACGCTCGCCGTTGTCCGCGATGCCCGCGCCAAAGGCCTCAAAGTCCCCGTCCTCTTCATGGGCTACTACAACCCCATCCTCGCATACGGTGACGAGAAGTTTGTGCAAGACTGCAAGTCTTCCGGAGTTAACGGCTTCATCATCTGCGATCTCCCTCCCGAGGAGGCCGTCCGCTTCCGTGAGAGCTGCAGAAAGGAGGGAATGAGCTACGTCCCATTGATTGCGCCGTCCACAAGTCCCGCTCGGTTGAAGTTGTTATGCAGAATCGCAGACTCGTTCATATATGTTGTGTCGCGCATGGGGGTCACCGGTGCGACAGGGACGCTCAATGTTGGCCTCGGGGATCTCTGCAAGAGGGTCCATGAGTCATCCGGCAACACGCCCATTGCGGTCGGTTTTGGTGTATCCACCCGCGAGCACTTCCTCTCTGTCGGCGAGTTTGCGGAGGGTGTCGTTATTGGCTCCCAGATCGTCAATGTCCTTGACGAGGCCGCGCCGGGTTCCAGGCCAGAGGCCGTCAGGAAGTACTGCGCTCACATTGTCGGCAGGGACACCGATGCCACAACCCGCGAAGTCGGGATGGTCGAGGCCATTGGAAAAGCCACCGAGACCGGCGCCGTACACCCCACCGCGGTCATTACTGATAAGGACGTTCCCTCCGGCCCTGGGCTCGGCGATCAGCTCATGGCACTCAGTGCCTCCGAGCTTGACTCCCACGTATGTACTTCGTAGTCAACGACCACAAAAACCACTTGCTAATCCCATTATCTGTAGGCGATCCCTGACCGCTTCGGCGAATTCGGCGGCCAGTACGTCCCCGAATCATTAATGGACTGTCTTGCAGAGCTTGAGGCCGGCTTCGTAGCGGCAAACGAAGACCCCGCATTCTGGGAGGAATACCGCTCTTACTACCCATACATGGGCCGCCCGGGCCAGCTCCATCTCGCCGAGCGCCTCACCGAGCACTGCGACGGTGCCAACATCTGGCTCAAGCGTGAGGATCTCAACCACACTGGTTCCCACAAGATCAACAACGCCCTCGGCCAAGTTCTGATCGCTCGCCGCCTCGGAAAGACCGAAATCATCGCCGAGACCGGTGCAGGCCAACACGGTGTGGCCACCGCAACCGTATGCGCAAAGTTCGGCATGAAGTGCACCGTCTATATGGGCGCCGAAGATGTCCGCCGCCAGGCCCTCAACGTCTTCCGAATGAAGCTCCTCGGCGCCCAAGTCGTCTCTGTCGAGGCCGGCTCCCGAACACTCCGTGACGCCGTCAACGAGGCGCTCAGGGCCTGGGTTGTTCACCTCTCAACCACCCACTACATCATTGGCTCTGCTATCGGTCCACACCCCTTCCCAACCATCGTAAGAACCTTCCAATCCGTCATCGGTAACGAGACCAAGTCCCAGCTCCAAGCCCTCCGCGGAAAGCTCCCCGACGCAGTCGTAGCCTGCGTCGGCGGCGGCTCTAACTGCGTCGGCATGTTCTACCCCTTCTCGAACGATCCTAGCGTCAAGCTCCTCGGTGTCGAAGCCGGCGGCGACGGCCTAGACACCGCACGCCACTCCGCAACACTTACCGGCGGCACCAAGGGAGTCCTCCACGGCGTGCGCACATACGTGCTCCAGAACCTTGAGGGCCAGATCGACGAGACGCACTCCGTCTCTGCAGGACTGGACTACCCCGGTGTCGGTCCGGAGCTGGCATCGTGGAAGGACTCGGGACGCGCAAAGTTCATTGCGGCCACGGATGCAGAGGCGTTTATGGGCTTCCGGAAGCTGTCGGAGCTGGAGGGGATCATCCCGGCGCTGGAGAGCGCGCATGCCATCTTTGGCGGGATGGAGCTGGCAAAGACGATGAAGCAGGGCGAGGATGTGGTGATCTGTTTGTCGGGGAGAGGCGACAAGGATGTGCAGCAGGTGGCGGAGGAGCTGCCGAGATTGGGACCTGGGATTGGTTGGGATCTGAGGTTTTAGAGAGAGTGTGTGCAAGGGGGGTTATCTTTTGGATAGTCCAATTTGAAGAAGAAAAGAGAGTGTTTGTGTGTTTTTGCTATTTGAATGTTATTTCCTTCCGTCATATAGTTGCGTGGTGTGGTTGCGTTGGGTCGAGTGATGCCTTGTGATCGAAAACTGCAGGATGGGTTTCGAATATACCACATGTGGTTTGCAACCTGGATACTTTGCTGTACTGTGTATTGAAGCTCTTGAAAACACCCGATGTTGTTAGGTAGCCTACATAGCCATACGTATCAAAAGATCAATACCCTACAAGTAATCTTGTTCCCAGACATTTGTCAACCCGTTCCTCGTTCTGCCTGCTGCGATCACACCACATGCTGGTCACGAGGCTACCCTACAAGTCTTTCGCGGTGAAAAACAGTCAAGACTGCGCCATGGCATGCATGTCTCAGGATACTTCCAACTGAACACATCTTGCCTATGACTTTGAGACCAGTTAATCAATGCGAGTGATATGTCATGATGTAACTAAAAAAAAGAGAAATATCTAACACAACTCATACGGCAGGAGATATGTTATTCCAGGTAGGGATAATTGGGTATGAAGACGTCCTGCTTGTGATGATCATCAGGTTTCACAGCGTTAGGGGGTACGAGGGGTTGTGTGTTGGTCTTGGTGGTAACGAGGTTTGATCTTATACTTGTGGATAGGTAAGCTGCGCGGCGGGGTACTCGGGCGGCTTGAGTAGTGGTGGTGGGGAGGGAGAGGGTACCCATGTACGCTAGATAGTTGTTTGTGGGTATGGCGGAACGGAAAGTTGGTGTCAGTATATGGCTACCGTATTGATGTGCATGAAAGGGCTGGAAGTCAACCAGAAGAGCCCAAGTATAGGCACATCCATGATACAAAAGGTTTTTAGATTGAGTACACAACTTCTGGTAAAAAGAACGCGGATGGAAGATTGTCTCGTCCTGGGACTTTCTTCTATTGCCCGGGCCCCTTGCGAGTTACGGACTTTCACCGCCGGAGAGGAGCATATATAAATGATGGGAGGAGCATATATGCATGTATAGTAATTTTCCAGAAGTGATTGGGAGTGAGGGTCTATCAGTGGTGGCCGTCTATTAGATTGAAAGACTACTAAGCCCCACCCTACGTTTATTAGTTGATGTGGTTCGTGTTGTATCACCATAATTTTGGGGATTCTAGAAGTACCATGTAATGGCAGTTGAAGCTACAGAGCTATTAATGATTCCTCTCAGCTGTGACGATTTGACAGACTTCATTTTGACAGATATCACTGAAAGTTCAACGGATTATGTCCCCATGTATTACCAAAATTTGATGCTCTGTCTTTCCAAAGCTGGATTGTGGTGATTTAGGCTTTGGATTAATCAATCACGGTTTCGTCAATTTGATCATTGACTTTGATAAGGTATTAGATGATCAGATAAGATAGGGAGCGCTGATAGTCATACTTT